TTTTTTTTTTTTTTTTTTTTTACTTTATTTTTAAGAAATTTTGCATTAGTCCATATTTGCAGTGCATAATGATTTCATTCCTCCTGGGCAGTCGGTACATGTGCAAAACACACCTCTCCCCTCCATCTCTTGGTCCCTTTGCCATTTGCAAAATATCTGGATCTTGCTGGCTTCTTGGTATCTACCTTTCTCAGGTGTGAATCAGGGGTCAGGCATTGCCTTCAACAGCTCTAGGGTTGTGTAAGGAGCCCTCTGGTCCCACAGCAGCCTCCCTGCCTACAGCTTGACATGAATAGTCCACCTCAGCCTTGCCTCCTCAGCCACAGAGAGTAGTGTGGGAATTTCACACCTCTCCAAAGTGTTCTTCACCGTGAAATCCTCTTATTTCCAAACACCCATGTTTTTTAGTCCCTTGGTGATGATTTGGATCTCTACTCTGTAATTCCTAAAGGATTTCTGCCCCAAGGTTCATTTTGACGTCTAAAACCTATTACAGCTTGCTGTCTTGAAACTTCCATTTTTAACTTCCTGTTAAGTTGCCTAATACACTGTGAGAGCTCAAAGGATCAAAAGAGAAAGGAAACAAGATGCTTACGATCTTTATTTTTATTTATTTTTGTTGGTGCCAAAGCCTGGGAGCAAAGCACTGATTGATTCCGAGACACCTCCCTGATGGTCCCAGGCCTGCAGAGGGGCACACCGGCCCACTATCCACGCAGGAACAGAGACGGAAATGACCTCAAGGCAGACACCAGCGATGAAATGTCCACATCTCCACTCAAATGCAATTTCACTACCCCCCGGGTTGCCTCTCCCCACCCGTCCACATAACATTGCCTGCACAACTCTGTCTCCAGATTTAATTCTCCTCCGGGCAAAATATTACATTCTCATCCAGCCTCGAGCTCTTTTATGTTCTTTTTTATTTTCTTAAATAAAGTCGGGATGAGGACAGACGAGCAAAGCTGCAAAGAAGCACGTGGACCAAGGAGAGGAGAAAAGAGAGGGAGGCAACGCAGTTCTGGGAATTGCTTTGTCAGCGCAGGCTGCCTTGGCAAAGCACCACAGATGGGGGCTTGCACAACAGGAGGCCGCGTTCACTCAGTTCTGAAGTCCAGAAGACCCAGGTCCAAGTCAAGGTATAAACTGGCTTAGTTCCTGGTTAGGGCTCTTTTCCTAGCTTGCCGCCTTCTCTCTGCGAGCCTCATCTGTCAGGGATGGAAAGTGACATGTAAGGGCTGAGGGAGAGGGAGAGAGAGAGACAAGCACACATGGCACACAGAGAGAGAGACAGAGGCACAGAGAAATGGAGAGGAGAGGAGAGAAAATTGGTATGATCTGAGCCCCATCTTTAAGCCTACAAAGACCCTGTCTCCAAGTACAATAATAGCGTTAGGGGTTGTGGCTTCACGATGTGAATGTGAGGGGAAAGGACATTCCACGAATATAAAGGAGTGACTATGCCCAGCCAGTTTAGCACGTCTGCGTGATAATAAAGACTGCCAGCCTCTGGAGCCAGAATGGCTGAACCGGAAAGCTCCAGGCGCTGCACTTCTGTCGAATCACGGGCACCAGCAAGTGCCTTCTCCTTAAGCTGTGTAACCTGTGCTGACAGGGGGAATAATGCGCCCCCTCCCCACAGTGCGAGCGCGCCAGCCGTCCATGCCCTGAACAGCAGAATCTGTGACTATTTCACCTTTCATCGTAAAAGAGACTGCACATGTTCAGCACCCTGAGAAAAGGAACTTGTCCTGAGATGTGGCTGCGGGGGAAGGTCAGAGTGATGCCATGGGGGACAGTGAGCGCCCATCCTAGCTTCCAAGATGGCGGAACACGGGCGGCCTCTAGTGGATGGGAAAGGAAAGGAAATGGATGCTTCCCTATGGCCGCCAGGAACAAACTCAATTCAGCTGGCCCCACTTTCGCCCAGTGAGATTGTGTTGGGTTTCTGAAGTAGAGAACGGTAAGATATAAAATAGAATTTCTTTAAGACTGTACCAAGTATGTAGTCATTTGTAATAGAAACCACAGAAAATTTTTGCACCTATCAAAGTTGCCTTCTCCTCTCTACAAATGCTACACTTCCAGCCGAGACTCAGAGGCCAGCATCACTGTCGTCAGGAGCTGGACACGTGAGGCCTACCACAGGTCTGTTTCTGGGCTGTCCACATAACTCTGATAGCTTGGAAAGAAATGGACCGCTGTAGATAAAACTAGAAGCTCCAGATGCCGGCAGAACAATGTCTGTTTGAGATGCTAAGTCCTCTAGACTGAAGGCACTCTACGGAGTCTTCCTTGTCAGCAAGTCCAGCTTCACAACTGAGCTGGGGTCTTGTCATAGGGTAGCTGCTCAAGGAATGCCTGTTGGGCTCTTCTTCCTTCTTTGCAGAGATTTGCCCACTAGAAGATAAAATTAAAGATATGGGGCAATAAACTAGACAATCTTGATTGTTGTCTCACTATTTCACAAGAGAATGCTCACCCAGGGTAAACAACTTTACAATGTGTTTCGGCCTCCAGATCTGAGAGATTGCTCCAGGACACACACAAAACAGAATTTGTCGTATCCTCACTTTCTGATACGTATTTCCCACACTTAAAATCGGGGATATAGAAAACTACTTAAAATAGATTATTAAAATAAAAATAAGGGCATCCAATGGCTCAATTACCTTCACAATCCAGATGTTCCATTCGCTAGCATCTTGCAGTGTAGCTGGTACTTTACTATGCACTGAGTAGAATATAACAAGTGTATTTTCTGAACCAAAAGTTGGTCCCAAGCATTATGGTAGCCATTGCCTTCATCATCAGTCTGATTGCTCTGGAATTAGAACAGAAACACAACTCATGGCAAACATTAACACTGCTAATTTTGCTAAAGACTGCAGTATTCTTTCAAATACGAGACCCAGCTTGCTGGGCCTAGAATACACTATTGTGTTGGAATTCTGCAATGTGCTAATGATTTGTGGGAAAATATGGTAGAATATTTAAGATTAAAACTTGCCAGAAAGTCTGGAATATAGGATCTGTTAATCAAATAGAAGAGATGAAGGGCACCTAGCAGATGAATGTGAGGCTTCCTTTTAACCATAAGAAGCTCATATATAATGGTGAGTAAAATGATATTTAACCAAAAAACTACACTCAAATGTTGGGTGTAAAGAATGGAAGAGGAGAGGTATAGATTAAAGGGAAAATCATGAGTCACTTCACATATTTGGAGTTAATGTCTGTTGGAGTTCCTGGTGCTCTTGTACATGTGCTCTACTCACTGCCATCTGATCGGCCTGCACCTGTGCTCCCTGCTAAGCAGTAATAACCTACGTCTGTTCTCTGTCCATCCACGTGACAGCCCAAGGGAAGGGACCTCACATCCTACTCACTTGAGATAGGAGCCACCTCAAAAAGGACTTCAGCAGATCCCAAAGTTAAACCTTTAAGGAAAATGTATTTGTGTAAGAAGCATGGTCACCAGAACTTACAGTCACTGGTCCTCTTAAGGGTCTCTTATCCTAGTCCACAGGGCTGGGAGAGAAGGGACAGGCAGATGAAATGGTTACAGGAGAGGCATCTACAGGTGACAGCACAGCATTTGTGAGGTGAAGCTGAAAACACACCAGGATGCCTCAGCTCCAGCAGAGAGCAAGTCAAGGGAACTCAACGATGTTAATCCAATCCACCTTTAGACAAAGCAACACTTTTTAAAGCCAATCTCTTACATTCTGCTTCCCAGATCTCTGATCTCTTTCTGTCTTTTGTAGCTAACTTTTAAATAAATATTTCATCTGTTTTGGAGTGTCAAATTTGGTTGTAATGGGATCCCTTTTTGATATTAATAATTTACTCTTAGGGTCTTTGCTTACAGAGATGTACGTGAAGGAACTATAACCAAAATATAGATATTCTGAAAGAAATGGAGGATGAGAAATGTTGTAATGATGGTGAAAACCATTTACTAAAATGATGCATCTAATACCCAAGAAGAAAAGCTGCTGTGCAGTCTGAACACGATCACAGACACTCAAGCCTAGAGTTACCCACTCTAGAAATAACCACAAGTTCTCAGTATAAGTATCATCTCTTAAAATTGCAAGTAGCTATGTAGAACTACAGTATTCTAGAAAGTTGTGAAAGTCACTGAGAAACATAAAGCAAGTCTAACCCTCAGTAAATGTATGATCAGGTATTTTAATATATAAAATAGAACCACTCAACCTGGGCATAATAGTATAGATTCTCTTCTTCCCTGCTCCTTTCAATTAAACATGATTATAAAACAAGGAAATAGCATAAGAGGCAACCAAAGGGGGACTTTGGAAAGTGACAGAAAGTAAATTTATGGTGGATTCTAGGACTAGAAGAGCACATCTTCAAGGCATCTTGCATCACTACACCAAACAGAAAGAGTAACACCAGGCTCCTGCCTACCACCCCAAACCTACATAGACCCTTCCGCTCCATGATCAAGCCCAGACCCCTCTGACATGCCCGATAGCATCATGGTGACTGAGAAGGCTTCTTGTGATCTGATCAACAAAAAGTGTCCAGAGAGACATTTCTCGCAATGCCACCATTCATTATTCCCTCCAATAGCACATAAACGTGATTAGAAGATGGTCAAACTATTGCCGTCTGCAATTTAACAACATGGGGAAGTTGGCAGTAAAAGGAGCCGAAATCATATATTATGGAAACAATAATCAGAAAGAAAAAGGAAGTTGTACCTATATTATAGGTGAGAAAATAGATGTCCCAGCAAAGTAAATGAATAGAACTCTCCAAACAGCATTCCTATGACAGAGGGAAAGTTATGACAGAGATAACTCAGCCTTAATAGCAAGAGTCTGAGGCTGCTGCCACTTCCCCAAACTAATTTTACCCATAGGCTTTAGGTTACTTAGTTCATTAGGGTAAAATTAAAATACAAGTAAAACTTATGTACCAAATTTCATTATTAAATTAGTCTGCAGATTGAAAAGCCAAAAGCCAGAAAGACAAATTCTGAAAGGTAGGCTGAAAAAAATGCTGGTGCTTTCAATTTTATCCTGCAGTTCTGAATCGTCAGCCCATCATGCACAGGAGGAAAATAAAGGCACTTAACTCAAGTGAGTCATGCTGGAGAAATCCTTGATATTTTGAAAATTCAAATGTCAACAAGCCACATAATATGAGAAATGAGAGCCTCTGGCTCTGTCCTTTTGAGCATCTCTACAAAATGAATCAAAATTAAACAGCAGCTCTAGAGGTGCCACAGTCTACAAATGATGTGTGGGTGGTTCTGGGGACTGATGATGTCTCACGATCGTATTCTTCTGAGAAAGGCATCTCTTCATTCAGAATGGTCTGCATGAATATATACTAAGAATCTGGAAGGTGTGTGTTAAAGTTCGAAATTCGATTTTTAAAAGTAAGAAAAAAAAACACTAGAAGAGCAAAGCCTATCCCAGAATCATTTAAGAAAACCGCCTGCCATTGTCATTCTGCACCTGTCACACAGGAAGAAACAATTTCTGTGCTCTCCGGTGCAGGACAGGGCCTGTGATGCCTGACAGGAACCCAGTGAGCTAGAGTCAGGCTTTACCACAAATACAGTGCTGGAAACCATGAGAGGGTCCTGGAGGAGACTTTAAAAAAAAAGTTTGCTTAGAGAAAAATTTCACAGTGTCCTTGATCAGGTGTGTTACTTAGGTATTACTTTTGCAAACCATAAGTCTTTCCTCCTTTAATATTGGTGAAAATATGCTCATTGAAGAAAATTTGGGAAGATGAGACAAGAGAAGATTACACACACACACACACACACACACACACACACGTGCTTTCCTGTAATCCCACCATCCCAAGAAAACCCTAGCATAATTTTGACATATTGCCTTTATCCTTTTCTGTCTGTGTAGTTCTCATTTGTAATAAATGTGATCATTTATTTCTCATTCTGAGTCCCTCCTTTGTTCCTGTGATCACCACGTCATTGACTGTTAAACTCTTAAGTGGGTGCTCACAGTCCCTTTATGATAGAATATTTGTTTACTTAGCCCCTCTATATAAGGCATCTGTGTCATTTCTCTTCCTTCATCCTCATAACGTAGCTGCCTTCAAGCAGCTCTCTTGTGTGTTCTTTTTCCATTACTGTTCTGATTTATCTTCAGTTATACATTACATAAATATTTAATATGGCTCTTTTCTTTCCTGGATGCCTTTCTCTTGCCTTTAGCAGGTTCTCCTGTAGATTCTTGAATCAGACTCTCTCCACAGACTCACTTTAGCTTTGGATTCCAGTGGGGATCACCTCATATTTACACAATGAATAAAAATATAGATAATTCCTGTACTAGAACAAAACCATTCTTCTTATTTCTCTGTATTTTTAAAAGTGAATGTAGTGTGATGAAAAGAGAAACACTGGACTGAAATCAGATTCCTAACATGGTTCTACCTCTCACATAAATCACTGAATGCCTTGCAACCTATTTACTCATATGTACAATAAGAAATTTGCATAGAGGTCTCAGCACTCTCCTAACGTCTGTCTTCTCAGGCTGAAATTCTAGATACTTGCTACCTCAGCACAGCTACACTGAGTAGGGTCACAGGGGAAGCCAACGTCACTCCTTTATTCCACGTGTGAAGCCTTTTAGCAAGGTGATTAGAGCTTTCCCAAAGTTGGAGGAATTGAGATGTAAAAAACTAACTCTTCCAGCTGCAGCAAGCAGGGCTGCCCATCTGGGGGTGCTCCTGAAGCTCTTCATTCTGCCCCCTGAGCATGGTTGACCTCAAGAGCTCGCCTAAAGCTACTGTGACTGTCAGGAACCACAAGGAAGGTTCCACCAAGCAGCCCATAGAAGTAGCAATGCCATGATTCTCAAGAAGCTCCTCTCACCAGGATTGAATGCACAAGTCTCCCTGTATCAGCCCCTAGAGCTTCTCCTTCTGCTCACTGAGGCCACTGGGGAGGGATTCTGGACAAGGTTTGGTGTGCTCTGAATGTTTCCTAACTTCATCTGGAAAATACTCCTTAAGCAATGTGGTCAGTGTCTACTACAGACGTAGTAACATTGGTGCTGCAAAAGGTACTAGAAGGCATAATGAGTGTGATCATTGCCTTCAAGAAATGCAAAACCAACTGGATGTCAGGCTCAGCACCAAGGATACTGGGGTTCCTCTTTCTTTTTAGCTTGACACCGAACTCACAGGTGGAAGACGCTGAGTATTTCTTAGAACAAAAGAGCAGCAGGTAAAATCAAGGCAAATCCTCAGAGATTCTCCACTGTACCCATCTCCCACTTGAAGAAAAAGAAAAAGCCACATGGAATCCCACAGGATGGAGGCTGTGATGTCCACGTGAGGTCTCTTTCAGTGCGTCTTTGTCATCTCCGTTCATCCTCTCTGCAGTCGGTAAATAAGTAAGGTGGATGAAATTGGTGGTTCTGTGATTCTGTTGTCAGGAATTGCCAGGGACATTGAGACACAGTACTTTTAATGCTCAGTTGCTCCATACCACAGGATGAAATTGAACACAGGGACTGAATCATGTGCTTCCAAAGTACACTGCTGACTCCTGAACCCAGGTACTTGAAAATGTGACTGGAGGTAGGGCCTCTAGAGAGGTGATTGCCTTGCAGGAGTGAGCCCTAATTCACCCTGGCGGCTGTGCCCATGACAGAGTGTCATGCCTGGCCTGAACTAGACTTCCACGCCAAACATTTTATTCTCTGCAAACAGCAGGCTACTCTCAATGAAAAGGACAGATGGCCATAAAGAAAATTTAGGATGGAGTATACAATCTGCCTGGGACCAAGAAACATAGGATTACCTGCACACCTGTGCCGACCATCCTTGGACCTTCAGGCATAAACATTCCCTATGATCATAGCCCCTTCCCAAACCCTACATAAACCCTACATAAACTTAATTTCTCTCTCAGCTAGCTGCCGATACCTCTGTCACACTGTCAGCCCATCCACACATGGAATGAATAAAATTGGCTCTTCCCAGCTAGCTGCCGAAATCTGCCCCCAATTTCAGTCTCTGATCACACCTGGACAGGAATAAAGCTTTTTCTCACACAAAGCCTGTGTTGGAGTGACCTCTTACATGCCATTTATAACAAAGAGGACATTGGGGCATGCAGAGACACACTGTGGAGCACACACAAGGAAAGACCACACGAAAACCTTAGCAGGCAGATCACCATCTGCCAGCTAATGAGGGAGCTTCAGAACAAACCAGAGTTTGGCTCTTGCATTTCTAGCTTTCAGAACAATGAGAAAACCAGGGGCTGTTCCTTCAGCCACATGACGTTTTGCTGTGGCAGCTCTACAACTAGCCACACATGTTTGTGTGTGATTTGTAGCAGCATCTGTGGACCTGGGCTTCACAGCCTAGAACATACTTTCTTATTTCATTTATAGTATCAGCTTATCTGAGTTCATTGAAAAGAAAGTTGTGTGTTATCTGTTTGTTCCTTTTTTAGAAGAATCCTTTTGGTTTATGTCTTCTACTCTGAGAAACACCTTTGAAGACAATGATACACAGGGTCATAACAATTGTTATTCTCTTATTCTCACACCTAATGTCTAAGGCCACATGTTCTGGTGTACGGGATGGTGGCACTGGGATGTACCTGACTCATGGACACCGTGCTGCTCAAAATTTGGCCACGAGGCCTTCAGCCTCTCTGATGCTTCCCCAGGCTCTGATAATTGTTGCAATGCACTTCTTTCAGAAATCTTGAGGTGCTTACATGAAAACTTCCATAAATTTGATGAATTTTTTCATAAAATAAAAATGTAATTTGGGCATAAATTGTTAAAGTTCTTCCTTCATTTGGGGTCCTTCGTGTTTAGGTGCAGAGAAGGGAGCACAAAGTCTACAAGGACAAGGACCTTAACCTGTTGTACTGGCTGCTGTACCCCTGATGTCAGCATAAACAGTTCAAAGATTTTTGAAAATGTATACAGTTCTGTCAATCACCGTGAGCATGGTGCAGAATGTTTTCACCCCTCTGAAAGGCTCCTTCATGCCCCTGCACAGCCACTGTTCTGCTCCAATGCCAACTTTTGGCAGGCACTGCTCTCCTTTCTAAAACTTTGGCACTTCTATAGCTTACTGCAAATGGAATCCTACAGAGTAGTCTTTTATGACTTGGCTTCCTTCAGGGAGATTTTGATATTCACCGTGAAAAGCTGCTGCTGTGTATGCAGTACTCTTTTTTATTGCTGATTTATAAATAATCACAATTTATAAATAATCACAATTCTTTTTCTTTCACCAGTGGACAACTGGATTGTTTCTAGTTCTAGAACATTATAAATAATATTCCTATTAATACTTAGATATAAGTCTTTGAGTTAATATGGCCAGTTGGTTTTACTCTTGGATAGCTCAGGAGTGTGTTAGAATATACGTAAATTTATGAGACACTGCTCACCTGCATTCCCGCGTGTCTTCATTATGCGTTCCCAGCGCCACTGCATGAAGAGTCTGATTGCTCCTCAGCGGCATTTGACCTCGTTACAGCCATATGTCTCCTGCCAGTCCTAGGGGTGGAACCCAGGGCCCCTCACACCGACCTACATCACCAGCTCCCTTTTGGTTCTTTGTTTCACAGCAGGGTATTTCTAAGTCTCCAAGCTGCCCAGACTGGCCTTGAATTTGCAGCTCTTCTGCGTCCTCCTCCCACAGTGCTGGACGTAAGGTGCGCTCATCACTCCCGCCTCGCTGTCTCTCAGGGTAATCATTTCACTGCCAGGTAGTGGCGCCTCTGTGTCTCCCTGGCGACTAACGGAGATGACCCTAGTTCCTTCATGCTTCTTTACACTTTGTGTTCTTCAACGGTAAAAAGTCTTAGCTCCTGTTCCAAAGTGAGTTGTTTTACTACAGACTTGTAAAGGTTCCTTCTGTATTCTGAATATAACTCTTTTATCACATGTAAGTCTTGGAAATATTTTTCCCCAGCCTATAGCTTATTTTTCCTTTACCTAACAATGCCTTTTGAAAAATAATTTTTTGGGCTGCGGATTTAGCTCAGTGGTTTCACCGCCTGCCTTGCAAGTGCAAGGTTCTGAGTTCGATCCCTGGTACCGAAAAAAAAGGAAAATAAGCTTTTAATTTTTGATGAAGCCTTGTTATCATTTTTTTCTTTCATGGTTTGAGCTTTTTATGTACACTGTAAGAAACTGTGGTCAGTCCATGATCACAAATATTTTCTCTTATAGTTTCTTCTAAAACTCTTAACAGTTTTAACTTTCTTATGTCTATCATAAATATCAATGAATTGTTACATATGGTATGAGAGATATTTTATACATATAAGTGCGTATCTGTATGTGAATTTTTATGTGGATTTGATAATGGAATTGAAACATTGATTTTTTTTGAGGAACTGATTCCTTCTCTTTTAGAAATACATAATGCATGAAACATCACTGGGAGTGTGAAAATGAAACAGGCAAAGCAGTGTTAACCACGAACGGATGCTCCAGGATGACCAATTGAGGGCCTGCTGTCCCAGCCCCATACTTTGCATACACAAAATTCTTGTGATATAGATTCACACTTATAACAACAAGGAACTAAGAGCTAAAGAAACATAGCTGAAGATACTTATGCTTTAAAAGTATTCCTAGTGAGTCAGACTTAACTGAGTCATCTGATTAGAAAGAAGAAACAGCAACCTAAACACACTTAAAAACATCATGATTAGGGTTCATAATCTTAGAATCCCCAATGCTCCATTTACTGGGCTCAGAGGTCTATGCAATTACACTCTGTCCATTTGGTGAGAAAGGAATCTGTGAGAGTGAATCTGAGGTCTTCACAGTTGAGACTAAGCTACAATTTAGAAAAGCCTGGCACATAGACGTTCCTCTCACTTCTGCGACTGTGTCTCTTACCCCGAGGCCTAGCCAGCTACTGGGCGGGCCTCACTATTCCAGAGCGATTTAATGTCAGATGGCTCTAATGACCTATATTAGATGATTCTAATGTCAGCCAAAGTGGCATGCTTTTGTAGAAATCAAAGCTCTCCACTTAGGTTTTGTTTGTCTTTCAGAACGCTGTGCACTGAGTGCTCACATCGTGAGCTCTGGCTGCGCAAGGCAAGCAGCACCTTCTAATGGAAGAATGGGGAAAGAACGGGATAGATAGAACATTTCCTATCTACGATAACAGCTCTATCAACTGAAGAGGAGGCATTGCCAAGGACTAATTTGATAATCAGGAAAAGTATAATTTCCCTTCTTCCAAGAATATTAAAGGGGAAATGCCTAGTTTCACACCAAGCTTTCCCGTTATCCCCAAGGCTCCTTTCTCATTTGCGCCGCTGCACGGGAGCTCCTTCCTCCTTGGAACTCGGGGAAAGTCGCTCAGTCTCTGCTTGGCCGGATCTCACCTGTCAGCTGGGGTCCCAGAAAACATCCAGGGGATGCCCACCAAGCCCCAGGCGCTCTTCCAGGTGAACATGACAGAGCTCTTCCTGTCTGGGCTTTGAGTTCTGCAGGTCAGACACCACCTGGAGAAACGCGCTCCCAATCAGCAGAGCCACACTTCAAAGACAAGAGGATGGGGTGTGGGCTTAACACTGCAAGCCACAGCGCTCCCGCGGCCTTAATGTGAGGTCAGAGGGGATGGGCGGCAGCCACTAAAATCACTGGTGCCTTTTCTCTATCACTCAACTTTACAGAAGTGGAATTTACATAAAGTGAAATATGTACGTTTATTAAGTTTATGGACTCAGAGTTCTTCCTCATCTTACCTTCTTATTCATGAATGTCTGAGGATCTTGGTAGCCCCTGTGTCCCCTGTTCTTCCTGGTCACCCTAAGGAGAGGTCTGCCCAGGTTTTTAATCCCCTCCCGTGGCTGTTGGTAACACTGAATTTTCTCTCTTGTTTTCTGATTTTTATATTTTATTGTTTGCTAATTCTATCTTTAGTATTTACTTCTGTCAACCAAACTTGGATTTAACTTACTGTTGAAAATTTCTTTTTTTTTTTTTTTTAAAAAATTTAAGGTGAAAGCTCAGATTTCCAGTTTAAACCTTCTTTCCTTTCTAATTTACACAATTAGAGCTAAACAAAAAAAAATCCCCCTCAGCATTATTTCAGCCATGATTCACAAGTTTCGATGTGTTGTGTTTTCAATTTCATCCTTTGCACATTATTTCCTGCTTTCCCTAGTAGTTAGTTTCCTGGGTATCCCCCTTGCTAGTCATTTACGAATTTATTGAGTATACTTTTGTTTTCTACTTTATCTACACAACTGATTTTACCGTTCACACTTCTTCGGATTTTTCAGCATTAGGGGACATGCTAGAGCTTGTAATATACATACTTAAGCAACCAGAGTTCACTTCAAAAGATACTGTGCTTCTTGATTCTTGCATCTATATCATCATGTTTACTTTTACACTATAATACATTCATCTGGCTTCTTGAAGCATTTATTTTATTTTTATTAATATGTATAATTTTATATACTAATGAGTTTTAGTAGCTGTTATAATAATTTTACCTTTAACAATCATTTTTAGTAAAATTGAAATTTAAAAAAATAATTATTTCTATCCCAGTCATTTCTAACACTTTTCATTCCTTTATGTACACAAAATTTTTCATGTTGTAACATTTCCCTTCAATACTTCAACAGCTTTAGTGTTTTGTAGTATCACACTGGTGACCTAGTTTTTCACTTTGTTCATTCATAAAAATCTTTATTTTGCTTTAATTGCTGAGGAATAATTTCAGTGAATATACAAATTGGAGGTTGAAGAGGTTTTTTTCGTTTTAACACATCTTGAGATTATTATTCATTAATTTCTGCTTATTTGTTAAGATTTCAACTCTTTAATCTTCATTTCTCTGCACAGAACATGTCTATCTTCCCTTCTGGGTGCTTTTTTAATAACCGAATCTTAGTCACTGCATCCGATGTGCCTCTGTGTGGGTGTGTTCCTGTCTCACTACCCCAGGCTATTTTATTTTGAGACTCCAAATGAGTTTGTATTTTCTATACATTACTGTGGCTTTTTATGCCTCTTTCTCTTGGACTTTCAGATTGGATAGATTTTATTGATATATCTTGAACTTCTTGATTGTTTTCTTTTGCAGTATTAAATCTGCTATTAGTCTTACCTAGTAAGTAGTATAGATATTGTATGTTTCTGTTTTGAGTCGTTTTGATTGTTTACAATGCTGTTCATTTTTTCATTGTACCTTCTAGCATTATTAATAATATCCTCTAATGGTTTGGTATCCTTTACTGGATGTTGGCCATTGTAAATTTTATATACTCGAATGCTGCATTTTGTTTCAGCTTTTAAATAGTTCTGGCCATTGTTCTGACAGGAGGTTACTTTACTTGCCAATTTTCTCCCAAAGTGTGTCAGTTAAGGATCACTAGAGCAATAGATTTAATATAAAGTTTATTTGTGACATAGGAAGGACTTACTAGGTTGTATCCCAGTGCCCCCCTCGGAGTCCGAGGCAGAAAGATGCGGCTTTCTGGGCTTCCTATGGAAACATCCCTGATCTTAGCTGAGAACTCTACGCTGCCTGGTCCGAATTTCCGCATCTCTGGGCTCTGTTATCCTTGGGGATAACGGGAAAGCTTCGTGTGAAACTAGGCATTTCCCCTTTAATATTCTTGGAAGAAAGGAAATTATAAGCTAAATAGAAATTGTTTAGCTTATAAGTACCCAACAATTTTTCAGCCTTCTTAGATTCTACCACATACAAGCTGATCAAAACATATAGTGAATATTCAAATTTTACAATGTTTATTATAGTAAAAGATACATTGCCATTACCCCTCCTCAAAGTACTCTTCCTTGCTTCAAACACACTTATCCTATTATTTTGCCACTTTCTGAAGCAGTTCTGCAAGACCTCTACCTAAGTATTCTTAAAGATGTGATCAAACATACAGTGAACCCAGTGAATGCTACTGCCAAGTACCACACAATGCGAAGACAAGCTTGTGAGACATCACACAGAGTCCTCATCCACTTTAGCCATGGATCCGGTGCCATACAACTTCCATTTCTTCCCCAGAGTCAAATGCCCATTTTGAATGGGTTGAAGTGGGAAAAACTTTTAATGTATTCAGCACATGAAAGCAGCCATCACAGCGCAACTGCAGACACTCATGAAGGAAGATGTCCAGTGGTGCTTCAGAAAGTGCTGAGTACTGTGGAATAAAGTGGTTAGCAGTGAAGGGGGCTATTCTTGAGGATGTTAATAGCAATGTGAATTTTACGGCACCATACTTTTTTGGTCACACTTAGTAAATGTATCTTCAGGATCAGACCCAAGCAGACCCATTTGCAGATTCCTGGAGTTCTTTCTCTCCAGAGGGCTCTTCTGCTCTACTCTCTCTGGGAAATTCTAGCTGCCCTGTGTCTTCTCCACACTGTGATCTCCATCTCTCCATATCAACTGGGCCTTTCCGTTCATTCCAGGAATCCCATTCCTGTCCATGTGGCAGAAAATGGAGTGGTTTGGGGTTTATATTGTTCAAGTCCCTTCTCAGGGATCATAGTTCTGGGGTACTTAATTTCCACATCTTAAAAAAAATCATTTCCATATATTTTGTCTAGTTCCCCAGTCATTTAAAGTTAGGGGCTAGGCTGGTCCCAATAATTCTATCAAATCTGGAAATCTAAACCCATCTAACCTCTTTTTTTATATTACAAAAACTATAGCCTCCAACCATCAACTGTAGCTTTCAACCTCAAGAGAAAATTCTCAGAAAAGGTGCACAAGAACTGTATCTAGCAACTGTTGCTGTAATATCAAGAGACAAACTTTCAGAGAAAGTTCAACAGAAGAGCAGTTCTGGAGTTCTTTGCAGCCTACTGGGAATCACAAATGATTGATTGTTTTCTGCTTGTCACTATTTTTGGCTTAGGTCACTGAATCCAGGTCTTTTTTGTCAGTTTTTCTTCTTCAGTTAGGAAAGAGAGTATATTCCCCAATCTGGCAGTTGGAAGAAGGTGCTGACAGGCTGTAACTTTAGCGATAGCACAAAGGGAAAATCTCTCATCTAGGGTAACCAAATGGAAAACTCCCAGGCAGGGGAAACCAACATATAATGGACAAAAGAGAAATGTACATCCTCACTGTTTCTGTTATCCTGAAGAAATGCCGGGAAAGGAGTTGGCAGAAGTTTGATGTGCAAGAGAAGGGTGCGATCATTTCATGTCTCTTGGCACAGGGTATACCAATCGGCTGATCTTGGGAATGGGAGAGAAGTTTCAGGAGAGAGCAAGAATAATCAGATGGAGAGAGATCTGAATCTGTGGGAATGAGAGTTTATGAACGGGCCTTTCTTCTTCACTAAGCTCTCACCACTGTAGATCACTTTGCCTGCGTGGAGGACACCGGAGCCCTTGTACAAAGCACTGCCAATTATCTGACAACATCTTCATAACAACCGGAGAGTAGGCTGTCGTTTTTATCTTATACAGACACAGAATCAGAAACGGAGTTTTTGTCTGGTCTCACTCCATCATAGAGCTGGCCAATGGAAGAGACAAAAGTAAAACAGGACTGTTCCAGTCCACTAGACGAGAATACTCATCCCCAGAGAGGATGCTAGTGGAGACAGCAGCCTTCATTAGTGAGTTCAAAGGTGCAACAGCATCACCAAGACCCCAGGAACATTTTCTTGGGATTTTTCCAGACTTTTGAGTAAAGATGGAATATTTCATGTGTATATTTACTTTCACTAGCAAGCATCTACTGAAAGACTAAAATGATATGCTGAAGTGTGAACCCCAAAAATAGAGATGAGTGAGAGGAAACAAAAACAGATATGAGAAGATATAAAGCAGGAGAAGAGATAAACGGCTAAGCATACATAAGAAAAATGACGTCCTAGCAATGGCAATAACCCTTTGCACCCCTCCCAAGATTCAGAAATTGGCAGTGTAGGTTACATATGAAAAATGTTCCTAAAGGGGGAGGGCTTTAAAAAGGAGACTATCCAAATGTGAATGAATCTCAGACCTGCAACCTACTCTCCCCAGCCAGGAAAGTTTTGCACTAGCAAAAGACCAAGTCTTTGGAGAAGGTAAACAAGGGTGTCTCCCCTTCTGGCCTGCAGTACCTGAGCACAGCTGAGCTCACCAGAGGAGACTCCAGCCCCATGGCCAGTCTGCACTGCATGATCTCTCCAGCCGAGGGGATTCAGATGCCCTTTCCCCATTTGAAAGACTCATCGAAGCAGCCAGAACTGGAGCTCCTAGGCAGGGGGCTGCTCACAGCCTTTGCTTCCAATTCTGTGTTTAAACCTTTTCATCCTCAAAATGGGACAGGAAGCCAGGGACTAGCTCACACCAAAGGAAAGCTCTTAGAATAAAAGACATGAAGAGAGGGTAAGGAGAGAGGAAGGACGGAGAGAGACTACTGTATGTAGAGCACACACACACACACACACACACACACACACACACCTGTCATTGTGCACATTCTGAATACTGGGGACAAAGAGAAGATTCCTTAAGCTGCCAGCA